ATTTGCGGATTAAAAAAAGCTCCTAAGTTTCCCTTGAGTACCTAAACCCTTTTGAAAGGCTTTCATAAAATTAGAAGTGAATTGGGCACCACTATTCGAAATGATGGACAAAGTAATCCCATGAAGACTCACAATCTCATTAATATATATTCTTGCATAATCTTTGGCAGTATAAGTAGACTTAACAGGAATAAAGTGGGCAGATTTGGTCAACCTATCCATAATAACATATATGGAATCATTTTTATGATGGGTTCAAGGCAACCGAACAACAAAGTCCATATATATGGATTCCCACTTCCTAGTAGGAACATTCATGATTTGTTTTAAACCACCCGGTTTAAGATGCTTAGCTTTAACTTGTTGGAAATTTGGACACTTAGCAACAAACTCCGCTATGTCCCTTTTTAAACCATCCCACCAATAAACCTCCCTAAGGTAATGATACATTTTGGTGTCACCTGGGTGAAAAGAATAAAGGAAACCATGGCCTTCTTCTAGAATTTGATTTCTCAAATCCTCAACATCCGGTACACATGATATCCCTTGGTACCTAAGAACACCATCCCCCCTTGGGAGAATGAATCATTGAGCTTACCAAGTACCTATTCCATCAACTCTATCAATAGAGGATCAAGATGTTGCTTAGACTTCACCTCAACCAATAATGATGAGTTGGAGTTATGATGGACCATAAAACCACCACTGGGAGAATCTTTTAACTGCACACCTAAACAAGACAACTTATGAACATCTTTCACAAGTTAATTATTCTCTTCTTCCAAATGAGACACATTACCCATAGTCATATATCTCAAAGCATCCGGAACCACGTTGGTTTTTCCAGGGTGGTAAAGGACTCTCATGTCGTAATCCTTCAAAAGTTCTAACAATCTTCTTTGTCTGAGATTCAAATCCATTTGGGTGAACACATATTGAAGACTTTTATGGTCAGTAAACATATAAACATGCACACCATAAAAATAATGTCTCCGTATTTTCAAGGCAAAAACTATAACAGCTAACTCAAGGTCATGAGTTGGATAATTCTTCTCATGAACTTTGAGTTGCCTAGAAGAATAAGCTTTCAACTTGCCATGTTACATGAGGAAACATCCCAATCCCACTCGGGAAGCCTCACAATATACTACAAAGCCTTCATTACCCTTTGGTAAGGTCAACACAGAGCGGAGGTAAGCTTATCTTTCAACTCTTAAAAACATTTCTCACTAGATCCGACCACTGAAACTTCACCTTTATTGGGTCAAAGATGTCAAAGAAGAAGCAATGGACGAAAATCTATCAAAAAACCTTCTTTAGTACCCGACTAGACCTAAGAAGCTTTATGTCGGTGGGTGTCAAAGGTCTAGACCAATTTATAACCGCATCCGTCTTGTTCGAATCAACATCTACACCCTTACAGGAGATAACATGGCCAAGAAAAACAACCGATCTCAAATAAAATTCACACGTACTAAATTTGGCATAAAGTTGATGTTCTTTGAGGACTTGCAAGGCCAACCTCAAGTGACTCTCATGTTCATTTTAATTTTTGGAGTATATCAAAATATCATCAATGAACACAATCACAAATGAGTTGATGTAATCATGGAAACTCTATTCATTAGGTCCATAAACTCTGCTAGGTTCATAGTGACCATATCTTGTTCAGAAAGCTATTTTGGGAACATTTTGGCCTCTCACCCTAAGTTGGTGATATCCCGACGTTAAGTCAATCTTGGAAAAGTATCTAGCATTGAGTTTATCAAATAGATCATCGCTCCGTGGGAGATAATACTTGTTCTTTATGGTGACCTCATTGAGTTGGCGATAATCAATGCACATTCTAAGGGACCCATCCTTTTTCTTCACAAACAAGACCGGATCACCCCATGGAGAAATACTAGGTTGAATGAAACCCTTGTCTAGTAAATCTTTGCATTGGAGCTTTAACTCTTTCAATTCGGCAGGAGCCATCGATAAGGAGGATGTGAAATGGGATTCATATCCGATAACAAGTCAATGCCAAAGTCAATATCCCATTTGAGAGGAACTCCTAGAAGGTCATTAGAAAAAACCTCTGGGAATTCCCTCACTATAGAGACCGACTCAATAGAAGGAGTTTCACATTCTAGATTTTTAACTCTTACTACATGGTATGTATAACCGTTGGCTATCATCTTACAAGACTTCAAGCAAGAAATTATTTGACCCCTTGGCATAGAATTTCCCTCCTTCCACTCTAAAATGGGTTCATTTGGGCATTGAAACTTCACTAACATTTTTTTCAATCTATGAAAGCAAAACGAGCACGAAGTCAATCCATACCCAAGATGATATAAAAAACAAACATGTCAAGTTCTACCAAATCAACAAGATTAACTCTATTGGGCAGCATTACAAGACATTTCCTATAGACTCTCTTTGCAACTACATAGTCACATATTAGGGTAAAAACCGAAAAGGGTTCAATTTAAAACATCGGGAAGTACATCAAACTTCCTAGCTAGCAAAGGTGTAGCAAAACAAAGGGTAGCAACTGGATCAAGAAAAGCATAAACATTAATACATAAGACTTGTAATATAACGATCCAAAGTACACCCTAGTCGTTACCAGCATCCCCGTCCTCGAAGAGGACTACGACAAGTATCTTAGCATTTGTAATCACATATCATAAGTCAAAACGCGGATAAATTTAAAACATTATATATATACGTAATAAGATTTACATAGACCTCTAAATAGGAAGCATACATAGGTTCTCACTAAACATTTAACAACAACATAGTCTAATAATTCGTCTCACATTTAACCATCTAAAGAATGAATCACAATAGTTTGGACATAGCCCTTAGTCTATTACAATATGCCCATATAGGCTACAATGAAGTCTCAACATGAGAATGTAATAATTATCTCAAAACATAGACAAAACTAATAAGGTTTTACAAGTGGTTCTATCCTTGGAACTGATAAGGACTCACCAATTGACTATGGAAAAAGCCAAGTCTTCTTCTTCAATGACCACAAATTTCCTCAATGGACCGAACCTAAAATATTTGGGGGGAAAGGGACAAATATGGGTTAGTACAAAACATTTGTACTAAGTATGACTCCTATGCACGAAAATCATCTATGCATGAGAAAAGGACAATTTAGTCAAAATCGTGTTTTTTATCAATTAACTCAACATGCATATATAAGAAGCATAATAAGTCATTTCAACATAATAGCAAACCAACTTTTAGATCACCGAAGTAATACTTGTGCATTGCCAAAGGTAGAACCCCATAATCCCATCCAAGGCTAAGTATCACATTAAGCAACCCACTTCATACTTACAATATATCTTCATAACATGTTTATACATTATTTCATACTGATAGCTTATCAACATAACCATTATCATAATCATAAAAAACACTACTAGAACCATCTCTTAGGATCCCACATGTGCAATGAGTAAGAGAAGTCTCATACCCTCCCTCACCCTATGTAGTATCCTTTGAGACAACCCTAATAAGAGTCCACATACTTAACTTATTCACTTACTTTTACAATAGGAAAAGAAGTGCAATAATTGACATGATACCATGTGAGCTACATGGAATTCGGTTTTCTACTCCCACACCGCAAAAAGACGGTTGCCTAAGGTGCAACCATTCATACATAGCTACCTAGGTAGATCCACTAAGCTAGAGTCCTATGTGGGCACATTATCTAAAGGTCAAGAAAATTGTTTCCAGAAACTTTGACTTACTAACGTGCAGGTTTCCATCTCATGAGACAACACATAACTAGGGAATCTGGACTTACTAGCGTGAGGAAACCCATGATGGAGGCCGTACTCACTAACGTGAGACCTCATCATTTACATGCCCTTTTAGTGCTAAGCAATTATTCCCTTAGTATTCATATTATTTCATCATACAAGTTCACATTAGTCTATTCTAGACCTTTAAGTAAACATCTTATTGTAATAGCTCATAGGTGATCACAAGTGAGAACTATCCTTTCACTTTACACAAAACATTACAACCATAAGAAACTACATTCAACCATAAAATGATCACATCATAAAATTTTCATACACTTCATAGCCAATTCATAGATCTAGGGTTAGGGATAACAGATCCTTGTCACCAACATCACAACAACACAATTAGATATAGCATCATTATCACATAAGTAAATTTCACCTTGCGTAATTGAGATCAAATGAGAATCGAGATCATACCCCATTGCCCTTCATGGGACATCATACTTCAATGAACAATAACTCACAACCAATATATTAAATAGGTCAATTCATGAATTAACATACCTAAACTCAAAGTAAACAAGTGCATGTTCAGCACCCTCAACAATTCACCTTTATCGATCTAAGAAATTAAAGATTTGGGGGAAATACATGAGTCAATTGAAAAACTCATATGAATTCATAAATTTACCATAAATTAATACTTAAAAACATTAATTCATCATAGTTCATCACAATTAACTCATAATTTCGTTAAAGAAGACTCGCGTGAGGAGAAAAACCCTTGTATTGGGGGATTTACAAATCATCTTTTAAAGGACCTCTTGGGGAAAGGAATCCCAAGAGTGAAATAAATCATACCATAATGAATATTAATCCATTACATTGATTTGAAAAACTTGAAGTCTTGATCTTCTTCTTGGAGCTCTATTGGTCTTCAATGGAGTTTTGGAGGAAGAGAGAATTTGGGAGAGAGAGATTTTTGAGTTCATCTTGTGAGACTTGCTTTGAGTGATAAAATTGACCTAAAATTTAACCTAAGAAATTATATAGTCACCCATTAAATTACCCAAAAGACCGCTCACTTAAATGGGTTTATTTGAGAGGTCAAAGAACTGAAAATACGACTTACGATATCTTGGAAGTAGGTGCACGTCGTGAGTCTAATTCCCCAATTTATTTTCATATTTTGAGATGAGGAATTAGGCTCTGTGTCATCCCATCATCGCGAGGAAAAATTCATATTCCCACGTTATGGCTGTGCGAAGCGCAGCAACGACCAGAATCTGCCTGCACGCAAGTTGCCTTGGCAGCTTTATTACCCAACTTTGGGTCCTCCCCAAGGAACCTTCCGGTGGTCCTTGGGGTGTAGTAACTGTATGTTTTGACCCTATATACTACATTCTACATATTCAAAGTCTTTTTAAAAGCTTTTAACTTCATATGACCCTCCAAAACCTTCACCAAACATAGGGACGTCAACTAGTTGAATTTATCTAGTTTCCAGACGTTAAGGCTTTTCTTTAATCCTATGGCTCCAATACTTCTCAAACAAGTTATTTACACTATTTTAGGTAAAAATCATAATTGTTAAACATATGAGGATCTAGTATAGGTCATGGAAATTACAGGGTGTTACATGTAACATACCAATCACAACATCGGGGGAGCTCTCTTGTTCACCCCTAGCCTTGAGTGCATAAAAATGGTTCCTTTTTTGAGCTTCAGAGATAGGATCGCTTGATTGACATCGGATACTACCATTTCCTTGACTCCTCACATTGGGACGATCTTTCAACAAATGTCCACCTTTGCCACAACCATAGCAACTATTAGTTCCAATAAGGCATTCACCCACATGTTTCTTACCATACCTACCACAAGTTGGTATTTCTCGTGGTGGATCAAAATCTATCCCCTTTTGAGGTTCAGAATTAGACATCCTATCATTGCAAGTCTTGGAGATATTTGAAGGAACCTGGTTTGAAAACCTCTTCTTGAACTTAGGCTTGTCTTGAATGTCAAGCCTACTCTTGGAAGAACCACTTTCAAAAGATCTTTCCTTCTTAGATTCCCTATTCCTCTTCCTTAGACGACTCTCCTCTACTTGTTGAGCATGAACCATCAACCTAGAAATATCCATATTTTCATGAAGCATAGTTGCACGACATTCTTCTTCAAGATCTTCGGACACGCCCGTTACATAACAACTCATTTCATCCCTAGCATTGGAAACCAAAAAGGAAGCATATTTGGAAGGCTTAATAAACTTTACAAAGTATTCCATGATACTCCTACCTCCTTGGCGAAGGTTTATGAAATCCTCTACCTTAGCTTCCCGTTGCTCTCTTGGGAAGAATCTGTCAAGAAAGGCCTTTTTGAAAATCTCCCAAGTCACATGACCCCTCCTAAAGCCGGACTATCCTTCCATTGATTGTACCATGTCTAGACCACGTCCTTGAGTTGATAGGCAGCAAGCTCGGCCTTTTCAGTAGTAATCACTCCCATAGAAAACAAGATATTATAGACCTAATTAAGAAAATCTTAAGGGTCTTCATCAAATTTTAATCCAAGGTATATAGGAGGATTCATTCTCGTAAAATCCCTTAGACGGCTAGACATAGTACTAGCATGTTGGTTCTCTCGAGGAACAACCTCCCTGTTAGTTTGTGTCGTGATGGATTTATCTTGAGTGGTGAATGCTTGGGACATTTGGAACAGAGACTCCCTCACCTCACTATTTATCATGGTCAAAGGATTAACTGAAACTTGATCATTAGCAACAGCTTGCACTTAAGGAGGAACTTGATTGCCTTAGGGAGTAGCTCCCACATTCACAATCTCTTCTCCTACTCTTCTCGCGGTTGTCCTTCTTGTGTTGATCGCCTATAACCACAAGAAACAAACTAGATGCTAAAAGACACATAGTGTCAAAACTCTAGAGGCACAACATAGGTTTACCAAGAAAAGAGAATTTTTCTACTCATCATATAGCCTTTTATTCATAATTGTGGCACGCTTCACAACCATGAAAAAGACACTATATAATGTTGTTTAGTGGGACAGTGATCCTCAGGATATTCTACCTCATGCTCTGATACCAAGTTTGTCACATCCGGAGAGCACCCCCCAGATGCAACCGGCGGCGTCATCCTCTCAGAGGACTCAAACAAGCCCTTAGCGTCCATCATAACATGTCATCAGTTAAAAATGCGGAAAAATTAAAAACTTTTGCATATTGTATGAAGTGTACTTACACTTCATGCTTAATATATATTGAGGTATACATAGACCTTTCACATAGAAGCTTACTTAGGCTTCTCTTTTAACAACATGATAACATACATACAATATTCTAAAACTTGTCTCACATAAAAACCACCTAAAGAATATGAGTTGGGCTTAGCCAATAAAATATGTCATATAGGCCTTACTATAAGAGAATCCAAAGAACATAAAAAAAACGAATTGAAGAGTATCTCTTAGCACTACCACGGTCTTCATAAGCTAAAATAATGAAAAGATAGCATCCCCGAACATGAGGACCTACCAACACTTAGAGAAAGAGTTCCAAGCTTCTTCAATCGACCTTCTTAATCTTCAATGTCTAGACAATACATTTGTAGTAATAAAAAGTAAGGGGTTAGTAAGTATAGGTATATGCACATAAACATTAAAGCAGATGCATGAAAAGGACCATTTCTTTAGAAAGTATGCTAAAACATTTGAAAATCTTTAATGCACATACAAGAGAGCATATAAAGGATAAGGATCACAACAACATAAAGCATGATCATAACCAAAGACATAACATCATAAAATCATATTAACATTTCATGTTCAATAGTGCATATCAACTTAACATACAAAACACTTGCCAATGATTTCATCCCAAATCTACAACTGCAATGATCATGTGAATCCCCAAAACCCCACATAATCAAGTAAACAAGATAGAAGACCATAAGTAAAGCTTTGTTTCATACAACTTATATTATAGGTAGTCATTACCCCATATAGCAATATAGACCAATAACATGTTCATCAACATAACAAACATCATATAATAGTAACATCATATATCATAAGAATTATACATTTCATGTTATCATATACATAAGAACAATCTCCTAAGACTTCCTTTAGAGTCAACATGTGCAATGTCGAAGTAGAGACCCATACCCATATCTATACTAAGTAGACTCCTCAAGTTACCCTAGTCAATGTCCATTTACTTGTCCTTCATTTTACTTGAGGGAACAATCGCCTTAACCGACATTGGATCGTGTGAGATAAACATGAAATTTGGTGTCATGAAACTCCACACCGAAAGAAGGTGGTCTACTGGCTAAAGTAGAACCAAAACATGAACATATCATTCTAGGTGGATCCACAAGCTAGTATTCCTATAATGGCAACATAGTTCAAGAACTAGGAGACATATTAGAAACCCATAGTTCCACATTACATGGCAACCTCTATCTCATGAGAGTCATTGTGAACCTACCTTCCAACTAGGAAAGGGACATCTCTCGGATCTAGTTCATCGGTGCTAAGCTAAAGTCCCTTTGTGAATAACCTTCAAGTCATAATTTATTCATAAATCTTATCATAGGTCATAGGAAATTAACTCCTTGTATAAACTTGATCCTAAGCTCTTTAGGTTTAGGATGCGAATTTCCTTTCATCACAACCCTTCATTTGTGGGATTAACATATTATAATCATACTGCGTAAGTCATACAAGATAAACATCATCAATTTGCATTATCATATCCTTACCATGATCCCATATTTAATATATTCATAGGCCAATATATATGCATAAAAACATCATGCATACTTAAATTTCATAGATACATCAATTATAGGTCAACATCAACATAATAGAGAAATCATGACTTTAGAAGACTTACCTATTGCTTCCAAGAATCTTCATCAAGAACTTACACTAATTTATAACAATCATCCAATAACATAGCGAAATAATCAATAACATAACCAATCACAACCACTTTATTCATTCACAAGACGAATTCAAAATTTGGGGTAAGCGAAAGAGTCATTTAGGAGTTCGTTCGAGCTATAGTTCCAATTTTAACATTTACATGACATTAAGTAGTAAAGGAGGAACATGATTTACACAAAAACCAAACATTACATAACAATTATCCCACAAATACATACTTAATTAACCATAGAAAATCATAGTTTTTCATCATTAGTCATAAATCTCAAGTTTGGAAAGAAACCCATTTGTAGAGTTAAAACACTAGGAATTGAATTTTTGGAAATCATATTTAAAAGGACCTATTGGGGAAAGGAATACCAGGAGTGAAGAACTCATACCTTATTGATGATTATGCCATGAATTTTGAATGAAAATCTTGAAGTCTTCGTCTTCTTCCTTAAGCTTTTCTTGTTCTTCAATGGAGGTTGAAAATAGAGAGTTTTCGAGAGAGATAAGAGGGATTTGTTTTTTCTGATTTGAAGTGCGTGAAAGTTGTATAAAACTGATTTAAAATCATTATAAACTCACTCCCTAAAATACCCAAAGATACCTCACTTAAATGGATCTTCTTGTGAAATTATTTTGACCTAAAAATGATGCGGATGAATCTGGGAAGTTGTTATGCGTCGCGGGGTCAATTTCATATTTTATTTTTGAAATGTGGGTTGAGGTAAAAGTCCTGATGGAGTCCCCATATCGCGAGGCAACTTTTTGGCCTCCATGTATTGGCTACGCATCGCACAACATCCTCCATTTTCTTGGCTGCGTCAGGCTGCTTTGGCAGCCTGCTTGCCTATGTTCGGGTCCTTTTCAAAGACCCTTCAGGTGGTCCTTGGTGAGTCGTTACTGTACTTTTGGATCCTCTCTACTTTATGTTATCTATTTTAAGTCTTTTTTTACAATTTCTGGACTTCATTTGACACTTCAAACCCTTCACCAAACATAAAGACGTCTGCTAATTCAGTGTTGCTTGTTTTCGGATGCAAGGTCTTTCTTTATAATTTTTGCTCTAACCTTTTCTAATTGAGTTTAATACATTAATATAGGTCTGGAAACATCATTTTAATCATTATTCAATAGCTGAAACTCTAGACTAATTCATGGAACGTCCAGAGCGCTACAAGTTTAGCTATACTAGGTCTTTCATTTAATGCTTTCCTATGATTTTTCAGGTTATGGAAAATAGTAGAGACAATTCTTGGAGAGTTGAGGAAGTTGAAGAGGACCAAAATATTCCTCCCCCAGTTCCAAACAAAGATCCTTCTCATGATCAACATAAAATACCTACTCAACCTTCAAATGACCCTCCAATTGGGAATGCTACTCTTTGTGAGCTTAGGGCTTCTATTAAATTATTGGTTCAAGCCTTGGCGGTGTGATCCAATAGAGAGGTGGTGGCTTCAGAAATCCCTATAGGAGGAATGGATGTTTCTAGGGTGAGAGTGTTCTTGAGAATGAAACCCTTGGAGTTCTATGGCTCCAAGGTTGAGGAAGATCCAAATAGGTTCATATATAAGCTTATAAGGTTCATGCATAATGGGAGTGTCTTTCTTGATAAAGTGTATCTAGCCTCCTATCATTTGAAAGACGTTTCCCAAATTTGGTATGAGCAATGGAAAGATAGTAGGCTGATAGGTTTTTCCCTCGGGAGTTGAGGGAAGCCAAATTGGGAGAATTCATCAACCTTAAGCAAGGTACTATGAGTGTAAAGGATTAATCTTTGAAATTTTCTCTTATGTCTAAGTATTTCCAAGCTTCGTATCTAGTCCAAGGGATTTGATGAATAGGCTTATGTCGGGAGTGTACTAGATGGTTAAGGAAGAATGTCGTGCGGCAATGCTACGTGATAACATGGATATATCACGTCTTATGGTGTTTGCCAACAAATAAAGGAGTTAAAACCCAAGAAACAGAGGGATAGAGAAAAGAAGAGGTCTAGGTTGGGCAGTGATAAGTCCTTTCATGTTAAGTCCGAGGGGCAAGATACGCCTAGAACTAAACCAAGATAATCCGGCCAAGATTCTTCCAACACCTATATGTTTGAAAAAGAGAGGGTAGTGGGTCTCCATTTCCCAAGTCTACTTGCTCCAAGTGTGGGAGGAGTCATTATGGTAAGTGTCGAGTCGTCATGGATCGTTGCTATGTGTGTGGGAAGGATGGGCATAAAATGAGAGATTGTCTGATTCTTAAGGCTAAGGGAAGATAAGATAAGAAAGTTGCCTCTAGTGGTCTGGATGATAATTCTAGAAAGAAGAATAGGATTTATGCTCTCCAATC